TAATCAATCAATCAATCAATCAATCAATCAATCAATCAATCAATCATCATCATCATCATCATCATCATCATCATCATCTTAGAACTCACCTGAAAGTTCCTTCAGGCCAGGCCACAATTAAGTTGCCCACCAGAAATTCGTTAGGCTCTTTGTCAAAATCTTTGCCGAAGATACATTATGTCCACAGCATGATGGGGGCAGGGGCAGAAAGTGGCCCACATTGCACTGATCATCATCATCATCATCATCTTAGAACTCACCTGAAAGTTCCTTCTATCCAGGCCACAATTAAGTTGCCCACCAGAAATTCGTTAGGCTCTTTGTCAAAATCTTTGCCGAAGATACATTATGTCCACAGCATGATGGGGGCAGGGGCAGAAAGTGGCCCACTGAGAATTGCACTGATCTCATGCATGGACTGGTTTTCTGCCCCGGGGGAGATGCATGTTTGTATAAAAAGAGAAACATTGGTTTAAAGGCAGATTGTACCCAGGGAAGCTACCTCTTTTCAATTTGATCCAACCCAGGACAAGTAAAAAAGAATTAAATGCTGAACCTGTTGTGCCCATTCTTAATTTACATGTTTCAAGTTTTATTTGTAAATAACTGAATATGTTCAGTGCACTTTACTTACCTTTATTTTGCTTCAGTCACTGAACAGGTGGTGAAATTCTTCAATATAGCCGTTCCCACAAAGAATATAATTTGACTTTTAATATAGATTGAATGGCTCATAGACATGCAGTTTTAGTAGCCCTTAGTGTGTACCTTAGTGTGCTACGGGGTCAGAAGACCAGCAGTCGTAAGATCAAATCCACGCGACAGAGTGAGCTCCCGTTGCTTTGTCCCAGCTCCTCACCAACCTAGCAGTTCGAAAGCATGTAAATGCGAGTAGATAAATAGGGACCACCTCGGTCGGAAGGTAACGGCGTTCCGTGTCTAATCGCGCTGGCCATGTGACCACGGAAGATTGTCTTCGGACAAACACTGGCTCTACGACTTGGAAATGGGGATGAGCACCGCGCACTAGAGTCGGACACAACTGGACTAAATGTCAAAGAGAACCTTTACCTAGTGTGGACTTTATTAAATATAAAGATGATAAGGTCACTACAGTATGTCTATATTGTGAGAATTTTTTATTTCCCCTCAGAGCTAAAAGCTAAAAACAAAAACAACAGTAGCAATGGCAGCAGAAAATGTGTGTGAGAAGCAGTCCAGGTTTTCAGCTGCCCTCCACAGTGACTAGTATTTTGCATATTAAAAATCACTCTAAAAGCATCTTAAGTAGAAAGCGAAACTTTATTTACAATTGCAATTGTCAGTTACATTCAGAAGTATAAAAGAAAGGAAAAATAAATTGCAGTGTCCACTGTATGTGGGAGACTGAGTTTACCGTGCTCAGAGAGGTCAGAAGCAGAGAAATATGTTTGCTTTGGTCAGAAAAGATGCATCAACAATAAAAGCAAACAAACAGAAAGAGAGGGGCCAGCACATAAGTTATATCTTTTAAAATATTTAAGAAAGTGCTATAATATTAAAACATTGCTTTTAAAAAATATATATATCTTATTGCTTTAAATGTGTTTCGGTGCTGCTAATTGGGATTTTTGTATGTTATTTGTTTGATTCTTTTGTATTTGCACATTCATTGTTGTTGGTGTTAAATACTGTCTTCTAATAAAGTAAGGTGCATGAGGTCCTTTCAATGGAGAAAAGTGGGGTAGCTTAAATAAATGATAAATAAATAATAATAATTTATTGTAAACATTCAGATCGTTCAGTGCATCTGTAAAAAATTCAACTCTTGGCAGGCAGACAATTGCCGTGCTGGCTGGCTGGATGTGTCTTTGCCTGTTCCACAGGCCTTTCTTTAAACTGGCAGGTTGCTCAAAGAATATGAAGGGCAGAAAAAGCTTATACAATTTTGGGTTCCAGGATTTAGTGTTAGGTAAACAATGGGTGAGATCCAATTGCAAAACTTTGTGTGGTTAAATCTGAATTGGGTGCCTGAAATAATTGACTTAAATTAGTTTAAAGCTTCCAGGTCTCCCTCTGGCTCCCTTTTGCCCTGTAAGAGGCTTTGAGAGCTTCAGAACTCTTTTTTTGTGTGTTTGTGTTAAAAGTCAAAAATTGGTGCCAGATCGCTGTCAGCAATCACGATCGCAACCTGAACTTCTCGGGGTGTGTGTATGTGTCTTCATATATAACCAAGTTTTTAAAAACAGCTTTTGATGAAACTATTGCATTAGTCCATCAAGTTAATACTTCTAGGATTTTTTTTAAATAGCTCTTCGATCAGGACCACTTCATTTAATGGCAAACTCACATGTACAGTGGTGCCCCGCATAACGAGTGATTCGTTTAACTATGAATCCACATTGCGATGTGTTTTTTGTGTGATCGTTTTTGTGATCGCATAGCAATGTTTTTAGAACAGCTGATCGGCAGTTCCAAAATGGCCACCAGGTAAATAAAATGGCCGCCCGCTGTGTTTTCGCGCCCATTCATCGCTTACCAGGCAGCGAAAATGGCGGCCGCATGGAGGATTTTCGCATAACGGTGAGTTTTTTGCTCATAGGAACACATTAAACGTGTTTTGATGCATGCTTATGGGCTTTGTTCCGCATAGCGATGATTTTTCCGGAACGGATTATCGTCGCTATGCATCCTGTATAACAAAACCAGGATCAAAAACAAACAAACAAACAAAAAAGCCACAGAGAAACAAGGAGGAAATAGCAGCACAAGAGGAAACCCAAGATTTGGACAAGTGAAGCCAAGCCCAACCCACAGCAGCCTAATGAAGTCAAGAGCGTCCAGACATGGAACACATAGTTTTTGTTGGAAAAATAAGAAAGGAAGATAGGCACAAGAAAGGAAATACTATGTTTGACATTCTTATTATAGCTTATCAATGGAAATGCTGGCTGAGTACCAGGGCAAGCTAACACACCTGAAGGGCCCACAGGTTGGAGGAAGCCAGCTTACAGTGTCTTGTGACAAGCTGTCACTCTTCAGTGAGATATCTCTGTTGTTTCTACTACGTGGGCAAGGTTGTCCATTTGAATTCCATTGAGCATGCATGCAGGAGATCCATTTTCACACCCTGGAACTCTTTCAACGCGATCTCCTCCTCTTCTGTTTCTTTTGATCAAACAAAATGTCACAGGTACAGCAACAAGTACAGCCACCACAACCAGGATACTTAAGGCAGAGCAAATCCAAATCCAGGCTATGTCATCGGTGCCTTTTGAACCTAAAACGGAAAAGTACAGAAAAGTTCAGCTTTGATCCCCCAAACTGTCACATGAAAACTTTCTGAGCTTCATGAAGTTATTCCAGGCCCAATGTGTGTGGGGGTAAGGTGAATCCTTTCTTGGCAGTACTATAGACACACAAATATTACATAGCAAATATTCCAAAATCCTTCAATGTACTTCTTCTCTTTGCTATATAATAATAAATTGCTATATGTAATAATAAATTGCTATATATGTTTATGTACATAATAAATATGTACATAAATTGCTATATGTACATATTTATTACGTACATAATAAAATATTTTCTCCTCTGTTTTATTTTTATTTCATTTATGTACAGGTTTTAATTCATACATTCAGTTAGGTTAGAGATACCTGGCCAGAGGCCACCGTGCCTCCTGGGAAAAGAGCCAGCCTGTGTGGCCTTGGGCTAGCCGCACAGCTCTGGGGTACCCCCCTCCCCCAGAAAAAGGAAATGCAGTGGTGCCTTGCAAGACGATTGCCTCGCGGGACAAAAAACCCGCAAGACGATTGGTTTTTGCGATCGCTATGGTGCTTCGCAAGACGGTTTCTTCTATGACCATGCTTTGCAAGACATTTCTTTTGAGAGCAATGCCTCGCAAGACGAATTAATTTCATTCATCTTGTGTGGTTCCCATAGGGAACTACGCAAGACATTATATTTTTTGCACATGATCAGTGCACTCATTTCACCACTCTATCATGTCTAATTTTGCAATCCATTTGTGCAATCTTTGGACATTCACAGATGAAGTATGACACGGTTTCATCTCTTTCTTGGCAGAGTAAATATATGTTGTTAGCACTAGTTCCCTGGATCTTAGCTTTCCTCACGTTGGTTTGGAGTGCGTGTTCTTGTGCAGCAAAAATAAAGCCTTCGGTTTCTTTCTTAAGCGTCCCGAGTTTTAGCCATGCCCATGTTGAATTATGACCATGCTTTCCATCAATATTTCTCAGGTGTTGTCCATGTAGCCGTTTATTTTTCCAGTTGTATAATTTATTTTCAAATTGTTATCTCTTATATTGAGCCTTTGTTTTTGTTGTTTTCAAAATATTCTCCACTTTGACTGATTTCAGTATTTATTTATTTTGCTTTTACTGATATAATTATTTAGGCTTCTTTTTTTCTTCCTCTACCACCTCCTGTATTTGTAGTAATCCACAGCCTCCCATTTTTTGTGGTAAATATAATCTGTCGACATCATATTTTGGATGTAGTGCGTGATGCATGTTGATTAGTTTCTTTGTTTTTCAATCCAATTTTTAAAATTTGTTTTGAATCCAATCTATTATTGCAGCTGGGAATCCAATTACTGGAACAGTCCCTGTGTTTAAGGTTTTGCTTGTGTTTCCCCATTTAATTCTGATTTTAAGATTTTCCGCAGTCTTTGGATATATTCCCTTCATGCCAGTTCTTCAACTGTTGTGTGCACGATGCTAAATACTTCTAGTATTCCAAGGTATTTATAATTTCCTTCATATGAGAATGATTTTATAATATTGCCATTTTTTAATTTTTGAGAGTGGTTTTATAATATTGCCATTTTTTAATTTCTCTTCCATCTAGCTTTTGGATCTTGCCATGGTGTATAGACAGAGCTGCACATTTGCCATTTCCAGATTTCATTTGGATGTCTTCACTAATTTGCACTGTATTTAATACTGATTCTATCTCTGTGGAACTTTTTGCATATAGTTTTAAGTCATCCATGTGTAACAGATGATTGATTTTTACTCGTGGTTCTGAAACATGGTAGCCCAATCCAGTCTTATTAAATTATTGACATGAGAATTAGTGAGATGGTAAGACGTTGAATCGCCTTGAAATAGTCCTCATTTGATGCTAACTTCCCAATTTCTTCACCATGGGCCACAAAGATGTTTCCATGTTTTTCTTGAGGAACTTCTGAATGGTTTTCCAAATCCCAAACATTTTTAGGCAGGTGTTAATCCAGCTGTGTGGCAATGAGTCAAATGCCTTTTTCATAGTCTATCCAGGCCACGCGAAGGTTTGTTTTTTCGTATTTTTGCATTCTTCAAGACAGTGATGCCTCAACTTACTAATGTCCTGACTTACGATCATTTCAAGTTACAACCAGCTCTGGCTGCAAAACTTTTCTTCAACTTGTGGCCGGAGCTTCTAGTTATGAACAGAAAAAGGCAGGGGGAAAAAGGTGGGAAATTCAAATTGCTAACTGTTGGTGGGGAAGAGGCTGCTTCTTTGTAGCTCTTTCACCCCAGCAGTTAGAGACTGTGCGATCGGAGGAGGCTTCGGACTGTCTGGTAAGGTAAGGTGCTGTTTTCTGCTTTTAAAGACTGTTCTGGGTGGGTTTTGCAGTGTGGTTTTGGGCTGGGTGGGCTATGTTTCTGTGCTTGTTTGTTTTTTGGTTTCCCCCTATTTCTGATGGGTCTTGGGGGGTTGGTTGTTTTTTGGGGCCCCCCCCCATTTCCAGTGAGTCTTGGGGGGTTTCCTTGCTTTTGATTTGGAGTGTTTTTTCCCATTTCCGATGGATCTTCGGGATTTGGTTGCTTTTTGTTTCCTCCCCTCATTTCTGATGGGTCTTGGGGGGTTGGTTGCTTTTTGGGTTTCTGATGGGTCTTGCATGATCTGCTTGCTTTTTGATGTTTTCTTTGCATTTGCAATCGGTCTTGCACGCTTGATCGCTTTTTTGCTTTGTTTTCTTTGAATTTGCAATGGGTTTTTCTTGCACGCTTGATCGCTTTTTTTCTGTTTTCTTTGCATTTGCAATGGGTCTTGCACACTTGATTGGTTTTCTTCCCCCCCTTTGGCCGGAAGGGATTAATCACATTTCTGATGGGTCTTGCAGTGATTTTTTTTATGTGTGATTTTTTTCTTTGGCCAGAACGGAATAATTGCATTTCAATGGGAAATGGTGTTTCGACTTATGACCATTTTGAGTTACGACCAGAGTTCCGGAACCAATTAAGTTTGTAAGTCGAGGCACCACTGTATCATTTTATCAATAAGCAGCTGATCTTTTGTGCCTCTTGACTTTTTAAAGCTCCCTTTCTGTTGGGTATAGGGAATTTTCACTTATTATATATTGATCTTGCGAGTTCTCCTGTGAGGAGCTTGAACATTTTGGAAGGCATGTAATTAGTCAATAATTACTGGATTCATTACCCTTTTGATGATCTTTTATTATCAGAAATGTGCAGCCTGTTGTCATCCAATCTTCAGTTGTAAACATTTGAAGTAAATGATTAAATTGCACTGCTATGTTGATGGATACTTGTTAAATGCTCTAACCAAAATCCATGCAGCTCATTTGACCCAGGTGCATTCCAGTTTTTCACAGACTTTACTTGCCTCTTAATTGTTCAAGTTTTTATCTCAATATCATCCATGTTTTCCTTGAGTTTCTTTACAAATATCTTTATTCCGTAAAGTGTCTTTGTTATGTTAGGCTTTCCCATATTTCTTTCCAAAATGTTAGAGCATCGTCTTTAAATGGGCCTTATTTATTTTGCTCTGCATTATCTCTTAGTGATGTATAGAACAATTGGTGATTATTTTGAAATTGCACGTTTTCTCTATATTTTTTCAAGTGTCCATCATATCTTTCTTCCTTAGTGTCAACTATTATTTTCCTTTCTAGGGCATATATTTTGCATAGTCTGGCTTTTTCATTTTTAAGTTTTGAGTCTTTCAAGTGTTTTAAGTTGCTAATGTCTGCACATAACTTGTTTATTTTCTTTCCAGATGAATTTTCCATTTTGGAGTGCCAGGAGTTTTTTGGATTTTTTGCAGCTTGTAATCAATTTTCACAGTTAGTATGGTAGCTGTGCTGTACATGAGCTGGTTTGTTTCCTTAATATTTTGGTTGGGATTGTTCTTATGACAACATTTGCATCAATCAGTAGATCTTTTACTGGTTTACTTTTTAACTGGTGCAAATTGGGAAGTCTTTTTCTCTCTGTGTTCTGGCTAATATGGTAATAAACCTTCTCAGGTACATTAATGGTTGTTCAGTTATGTTGCTACTTGGTTGTTTCCTTTTTCAAATATCCATCATTCTTTTTTGAAAACCGCGGGCTTTTGTGTTTGCCTCATGTGGAGAGCTGTTCATAAGAGGTGATGCTCCAGAGGATTCTTCCAACAAACCCATATGGGGCTAAAACCAGAATGCAGTTCCTTGACCACCAGGGAAGAGCAACAGGTAGAAAGACAGATTTTTGTATCACCCTTCGACTCAAGAACCCAGTGATACAGACCAGAGTACAGTGGTGTCCCACATAGCGACGATAATCCGTTCCAAATAAATCATTGCTATCCGGAAACGTTGTTATACGGGGCAAAAAACCCCATAGGAACGCATTAAACTCTGTTTAATGCGTTCCTATGGGGACAAAACTCACCGCTAAGCGGAAATTCTCAATCCGGCCGCCATTTTCGCAGCCTCGGTAAGCGAGGAATCGGCGCGAAAATGCTGCGGGCAGCCATTTTCTTCTTCCGGCGGCCGTTTTGGAACTGCCGATCAGTTGTTGGAAAACATCGCAATGCAAAGATCGGTAAGCGAAACGCTTACCGATCATCACAATGCAATGTTTACCCTATTAAAACATCGCAATGCAATCGGTTTTTCGATCGCAAAATCCGCATCGCTATGCCGATTCGTCGTTAAACGGTGCACTCGTTATGCGAGGCACCACTGTACATGCCCTGCAAGAGGAGTCTTAGCCAGTTAGGAAAAAACCTAAACCAGTAATATACAGGAAATCACAGGTTCAAATTCAGATTAGATGCTCACACAAAAAACAGGGAGAAATGCAGATCTGGATGACTGAGCCAATCAAGAAGGTTGGCACATGAGCCAACATTTTGGCTCCTGCATTGGTCAACTAGCCCTTTGGGGCACTTGCCATTCCTACAGCATTCCACCAACCTTTGGTGCCCTGTCAAGCGGCTTCTTTCGTATCCTATTTCCCCTGATACACCCCTTCCATCTTTCCATCACTATCTGATTGCTTCATATGGCCTGCTAGCAGTATCCTTTCCCCACATATGTCAAGTGCAGATGAACTGAGAGAACAGAAAATCTTACCAAAAACCGCAATGAAGAATTGCTGCATGCAAGATGAGTTAAGGGAACGAACAAATTTATAATAACCAGTTATGACTTCTTTAGCATTCTTGACAGCAAAGTCATTGTGTGATAGAGAGAAGTAAGAGGCATGTTCACTGTTCCAACAGCTAATATGCCCATTCCTTATGCACAGGACATATTCCCAATCAGAGGTAGACTCATTCTTTTTGTATAAATCAAGGATGCTGTCGTGGTTTGTTATATTTGCTGCAAGGATCATAGATGAATCTTCAGATAAGGAGAAGTTAGTAGAAGGACAATTTCTCAGACCTAGAAGTGAAGGGAAAAGGTGTTTACAGAGGCATACCATTGTGTATCACAATACACAGGTAGTGTAAATCTCAGCAGTGAATTGCAGCAAGTTAAAAAGCATGTGTCCCTTGATGTCTGAATGTGTAGCTATTATCTCAATTCATGTGGTTGAACATAATTAATAACCTTCCAGCCAGGATCAAATGCATGCTGGAAATGAATCAATACAGTGGTGCCCTGCATGACAATAATCTGTCTTGGGAAAATCGCTGTTTAGCGAAATCGTCGTCATGCGAAAGCCCTTTCCCCATTGGAATGTACTGAAACCCGGTTTAATGCATTCCAATAGGGAAAATACCTTGTCGTCCAGTGAAGATTGCCCATAGGGGAAGCCATTTTGCGAGCACCGATCAGCTGTAAAAATGACTGCCCTGCGAAGCACTGGTCCAGAAAACACAGGGTAGCCATTTTGCGAAGCAAAAAAATCGTCTTGCGAACAAACAGTTTGCGAAGCATGGACCTAATCGTTGTTAAGTGAAAATCACCCATAGGAATGACTTTTGCGAATCGCTATAGCGATCACAAAAAGTCATTGTCATGTGGATTCATCATTCAGCAGGGTCATTGTTTAGCGAGGTACCACTGTATTTGGTGTCAGAACATATAAATCTCCTAGCTGAAGTCAAACTCCTTAATACTTTTTGGCCTAAGATAGAATAATGCAACATTAAGCTGCATTTACAAACCGGTACCTTTACAAACAGCTAACGTATTTTACATTTTTTCTCTCTACTGCCCATCATCCAAGAGCTTTCTGAGCAGCATTCAATTTGTTCACCAGCTCTCTACAATGTGAAGAATTACAAAAGCCAGAATGAGGAATAAACGTGGAAGTTTTTAGCCCAGGCACAAGCGTTGGAGACTTCAACTCCCAGGGGCTCCTACCAAGCCCGCCAATAACAATAGCAAGGACCTCTGAATACTCTGTTTCCCAAAACAGAGTGATCTGGAGAGTCCACCGTTCCCCGTGTCAAAGTTTTATCAATGAGTTTCTATGCACACCTATTGAACTGTTTATATATATTAAACCCCTTGTCCTTCCAGGAGCAGGAAAAGGACTTCTACATGGAGGCATGCCTCCTAGGATTTTAGCAGGATGTTGCCCTTTTCCTTCAAGTAAAACTATCACTGAAAGTACAATTAAGAGATATTAAAGTCTTTTGATTTTAACACGTTTTAAATACCAGTTCAACACTCCTTTAATAGTTGTCACGTTTTGCATTTTAATTGCATTTCTTTAAAACTATTTCCTGGGCCATCCTTGGGTCTTAGCTCCGGAAGATAAGATCCATAAAAATAAATGTAACAGAATGAATGACTCAGTGAAATCCAGTGTCGCCCAGGGGGTGGGGGAGAGGAATGAGTTGCTTTGCTTAAGGGTAGCAAGACATTTGAGCTGGTCCTGCTCGCCCGGAACGCGACCGCCCACCCCCTCTTCCCCGAAACCAAAAAACCGCTGCCTACCGTCACAGCCAGAAAGAGAAAGACGGGACGCAAACAGCACCAGCAACCAGTCCCGGAAAGCCATTTTCCCACGCTGTGAACTACTGAACTTTTTATGGATTTGTTTCCCCCCCATCTCCTTTCCTTCTCCTCCCACTGGCGGGCGCGTCATAGTGACGCCGTAGTAGTTCTTCCCGCTTGATTTAAGGAGGGAAGGACGAATAGTTCAGTGGCATATCTGGTGCCACAGGTTCGAATCCAGGAAAGGGTTGCCATCTCATGAGAAGAGAAGACTCCCTGGAAAAGCCCCTGATGTTGGGAAATCCCCCTTAATAGTAGCTGCCCTCCCCCCCCCGCCTGCTGCCCACACCAGAGTCTAGCTCGGTCCCTTTCAGACAACCCTTTGGACTAAAGGTGCAAAAATGCAGGGTTTCCACGACCGGACTCGGGATCGGGCAAACTTTTTATTTCGGACCCCGACCATATTTTTGCCCGAGGCGGCCGAAGGACAATGGCGTTGACAGGAAACCTGATAACTCTCAGCACACCTCAAGTTGAAGTTTTCAGTTCGTAGTGCCTGCCTTGGGACGTTACCGTTCTTTTACTTAGGAGTGAGTAGTTCACGGAGGGACGGGCGGTTTACT